TTTTAGTTCTGACTGAATGTCTTCCTGCTGTGACTTCACTTTCAAGATTTTCAGTTGTGCCACAGTGTTGCTGTCAGATGCTTTAAATACTTTAGCTCAACAAGAATGTATTTAGTTAAAACAAATGCCAGGAACTCCTCTTCTCATCCAGCGATGAGTATCTGAACATTTCAACAGGTGGAGCTTCTTCTCCAGAGGTTACCAGAACCTAAAGTTTACATCTGAGATAATTATCAACCCAACACTACAACTGGTTTTGTAATCTTATAAAAAGCAAAGAGTGTTCCAATCAGGAGTTGAACTCTTGATTTATCAGTCAGAAAATAATCACAGTGAAACTGTCATGGAGCTGCTTTAAGTGAAGAAGCTGATGCTGATCTTCCTCCATGATGAAACAAAACATTTTCAAATTCATTTGCAGACTGATCTGCTAATGATTTCAACCCTGTTAGCTGGAGAAACACCTGATTTATTACAAAAGATCTGATTTCAAAAGTTAGTTATTAGCTTTTATTACATTTAAATATGTCCATAGTTGTTTTTCCCCAAAAAACACTTAATTTTCCCCCCAGTAAATAATTTGATTTCATGCAATGTTTAATTTTGTTTTTTCACAGTAAAAATCATAATTTGTACTATAGGTGGCAGTGTTACATCACAGAAACAGATGTGTAAAGTTTTAATGGCTCCTTGTAATATTTTACTTGAACTACTAGAATAATAAGAGAAAACTTTGACTTCAGCTGCCTGTTTATTTTATTTTGTTTATTTATTTTTATCACAAATGAGTCTTATTTTAATCAAGGGTTAAAAGGTGAAAAATTAAACAAATAGATAAGTCTTGAAATAAGCTTATGTGTTGTGTTAAAACCAATATACTGCAAATATGAGGTTTGAATAAAACCTAAAAAGATTCAATAAGCTAGTTGATAAGAACAGGTTACGACTCTCGAAAGGAGTGGACAGAGACTGAAGGTTTTACTTTTATCAGTGTCATATTTATTATAGTGCAAACANCAGCTGATGTTACAGATATGAAGCTAAAATCTGAAGTGATAGCAGCTAAAAGTTCTTCCAGCACAGTTTGAACACTGATAGTTGTAAGTGTGATAATATGAGGTGGATTAAGAACCACTGATTTAATGGACTGACAACATTTGAAGCATGTGAGCAGAACCTCTCAGAACCAGTTTTCAGTGTTGGTCAAGAAACATCTAAGAGCTGACAGATGAACCAGTCTGTCATGGTGACCAGAGACTAAAAGTCCAGCTGTTTAACAGAAGGTCCAACTCTAATGAGGCTGAGAGTCTGACATAAATTAACTTCATTTACAGGCAAATTAACTTTATAACATGTTTCAGTAACAAGACAATTCAAAATATTTAACATGATAAAACAAAAGAAATACATTACAGAGACATAATAAAGGAAAGAAAAGTTGGACAACAGACTGAAATGAATGTTTAACATTGATTTAAAAGAACTCAGTGTTTCTGCTTATTTTCCTGTGAGTTTGTTCCAGATCTGATGCTGCCTCAGTGTTTGGTTTATTCTGAGAATGATCCTCAGTGAGCAAACAGAGCAGGCTGTGTCCTCTTTATTAACAGAACCACTAAAACACTAAAACCCAAGTACCAGGAGCTGTCAGCCTCAGCTCACACCGAACAGATTTACCTTCAGGCTCACTTTCCTCCATCACTTCAGTAAGAAA